GAGTTTTTCTGCTAATTCTGCCCCATGCTGAGTTTACACTGTTTGGAGACCTTATCAGAACTGTTCAGTCAGTGGCTGCCACTGGAGAAGGTGCCGGCTTCTTCTGGTTGCCCAGAGAGACAAGGCGTTTCTGTTGTCTTCTCCCAGTTCTCAGGTGCTGGGGCAACCAGGGGGCAGGGGAACAGCAGCAGCTGCATGGGAACGTGAACAGCTGGATCAGACCTCGTTCTGCCCACCAGGGCGACCTGGGGGGCAGCAGCTGGATCAGTTCTTGTTCAGCCCTGCTGGGACAACTGGGGGGTGGGGAATGGCAGTGGCTGGCCTAATCCTCATTTGGCCCCACTGGGCCTACCAGGGGGGCAATGGAACAACAGCTGTGGTGCGGAACACACGAGTGGCTGAATTAGTCCTACTTTGGCCCCACCAGGGCAACTGGGGGGCAGGAGAATGGCAGCAGCTGGATCAGTCCTTATTCAGCCCCACCAGGGCCACTAGGGGTCAGGGGAATGGCAGCTGCTGGATTAGTCCTTGTTCAGCCCCTCCAGGGCAACTGGGGGCAGAGGAAGGGCAGCAGTGGTGCGGGGAACGTGGCTGGATCAGTCCTAGTTTGGCTCTGCTTGGGCGATCCTGGGGCAGGGGAAAGGCATCAGCCACACAGGAAATGTGCGACTGCAGGGCCGGGGCAGTGTGCTTGGTCCCGCAGGTGGTGGGGGGAGGAACGCTACTCTTTGGCCTCCTCTCATTGTCTCTGCAGGGAAGTGGGGAAGGGTGGACTGGAGATTCAAATGGCAATGGAAACTTTAGTTCAATTTTTCTGCCTGGTGAGAGGGTGTTCGGAATCTCAGCAGGGTCCCTTTAGGGGAGTAGAGCCCACTGCCTGTAGCTCTCACATGTGGGATGAGATAATAGGTCCTCAGTTCATCTCTCACCTGTAGGAAGCTTATAGGAGCAGACAAAGAGAAAACAAAGAGAAAAACACAGCTATCTTGGGGGAGGAGTTGGACACTTTTCCTTTGAGATGTTCCATATACTTGTAAGTTGCACTCCAAGAGTCGCAGCTTGCCTCAGCAGAGGTGTCCTGCAGTTATAACTTTTCTGTCTCAGCTGGGCTCCTAGTCTTCAACCTTGTTGGGTGTTTTCTGGACTTTATCCTTCCCTCTGAATGGGAGCTTCTGTCGGAGGCTGGTACCTGATGGCCATCTTGTTCCCACCAGAAGTCCTCCACAATATATAATTTTAATGCAATCCTTATTAAAGTTCCATTGTCATACTTTAAAGATCTTGAACAAAATAATACTTCATTTTATATGGAATCAGAAAAAACCTCAAATAGTGAAGACATTACTCAGAAATAAAAACAGAGCA